CAACGGAAGGCAAGGAAGAAGGGCAGCGTTACTATCAAACTAGACGTTCGAGATTCGACGATGCGAAAAAGGCGAAGACGAAGTGCTAGGCACGCTAGCTCCAAGTGTGATACCTCGCAAAGACGTAGACGAAATGCGATTCGCGATCGCTCCAAGAAAACAGACACGGCAGTTCATAAGCATGCCGCCACCGACAGTCGAAAAGGACAAAAATCTCCTGGTGGTCAGCTACGACGGATCGGCTAGAGTAAAGAAGAAAGGCGGGGCTTAAAGTGCGAAAATATGGGCGTTACCTGAGTCGACAGCCGTAACCGTTACTAACGACTTTGCAGAGGTTTTGACAGTAAATGAAGCGAAACATCGCGGACTGGTCCATGGATTGGATTCACTTTCCGATCAGACTAGGGGACGATGATCTTTTGTGGTGACTCGAATTTGGTGATAAGGCAGGTGCGAGGCGAAATCGATTGTAAAGCACCCATTTGACATTTGCTGAACATAAGGCAATGGAGAAACTCCGATCGTGGACAAAGCACGAATTCCTACGTATAAAGGGACTGGAACCAGAGCGCTGATCTTCTAGCGAACGAGGCTATAGAGAAAGAGAATGGGAATGTAGTCTAACAGACCATGAGCAATACAATCTCATGACTCTTAATCGGCTAAATGAGTTGCTGTCACCGAGACAAACCAACCGCTTAGTCAAAGTGGCAGCGATCACTCGATCAGCGACGCGAAGACGATGCCCCCCGACACTTTAGCAAGCGAAAGTTGTGCAACAGGTCCGAATTAAACGTGTAAAAGTTGGATGTCGGACTTGAAGATATATCTGATCGGGAATATATGCACGCTGAATGCCAGAGACGCAAAGATTTGCGCCCTAATCTCACCAGACTACGAAATCGATCAAAGCGGACTGTTATTCTTCTACTTAAGGACAGCAGCAAAAAGCGAAGATCGTAGCTATCCGTTTCGTCTGTTAATTCCTGAATTGTCGCAGCAAGACGTCTAAAACCACTATTGTACTAGTTTGAAAGAAGGAGATCAAATTGTGGGGCGTAAATCTAGCAGAACAAGACGAATTTACACTGGCGAAAATTGTATTGGAGCGTGCAGCGCTACGTTGGCGAGTCTGTTAAATTTTTGTAAAATCGGAAAGGGTCGCCCGCAAGATCAAGGTAGGTCACCAGATCATTTACAAGCGACTTACCATTTTAAAGTTCTGGCAATGGTTCATATTCAGTCTTTATAGCGATCTTTTATGGGTATACAGAGTTACTGCTGTGGGTCGATTTGTTCTCGGGCTATGTAATCGCAAAGGCGATCTCATCCCGAACTGCACAGATCATCGCAGAAAACTGTGTAGAACCTTTTTTTTTTGAGATTCGGCTCGAGTGAAATCATCCGTCATGACCGAGAGCCAGGATGTATATTTAATTTCTTTGGGGCATCAGCAAGATTGCAGGACAAAGGCAAAGAGCCACAATGGCTCATCGACCGCAAGCTAACGGAACCGCGGAACGCATAGTTCAAACCTTGACATGATCAATTAAAATGTATGTCACTGATGAAAATTAGAGAGGTTATGACGAATGCTTTAAGCGATATTTGACCTAAGCGGTTAGTTACACGCAAGATCGAGTCCGCGGGAAAATGCCATTCTCTATGATCCATGGTTGGGACCCTCGATCGACGTTGAAAGCAATTTTGCCGCCGTTGGATTGTTAAACCCCGCGATCGCGATTCCAGAAGATGTAGGTATGTGATACAGCGCCAATTTCAACAAGCAAGGGCGATCGTGAACGATCGCCTAAAGATCGGGATTTTAGACCGAGTGGATCGTCATAGCGAAGACTACGATCTGTTGGAGATGGACCACTGATCACATGTATGGTTGTACCAGGATCGCGTCGAAGATAAATGATCGACAGTTTGCTCATATGTACCACGGAACATTCCGAGTGGTTTAAACATGTGGAGACCATGCAGTGAAATTGGCGATCTCAGACACACCCTAACGGTTGTTTCCGGTCGTTTATGAGTCCAAACTGAAGCCAGTGAAAATGTTCCCAGAACGACCTTAAAGTCGGGTGAACGTAGACAAGCTTGATCGAGTTATTTTGATGAAGCCCTACTATCGGAAGATAGTTAAAAAGGTGTGTTGGATGACGACGAATTCGAGGTGAAGAAAATTGTGGATGTGCGATCAGGTCAAATAATTACACTACGGACGAGTACACCCCCGTCAATTTATAGTACAATGTAAAGGTTGTAGCGATCCGTCATCGGTGGACGAAGCAGATCTGAATTGAGAAGCTTTACTGCAAGAATTCAATCGTGATCGAATAAGTCGGAATCGGTTTGAAGTAATGCAAACGCACGAAGAAGGGCCAGGGGCCTAGACCAAATTGGGGTGGTCGGAGTGTGTAAGTAGGCAAGAAGGTTGCATACGGTTGTAAAACGGTATACAGTTAACTGTGAGACTGTATGTGAAAATAAAAGAATGGCGGAAATATGCAAGAGGGTTACATATGTCGTTAAGTAAAATTCAATTATATCAGGAAGTGATGCACGAAGATGGAATGGCTGTGTGTAAGTATGTGTGGCGATAGAAACACGATCGCGGTCCACGATACTGATAAAAATAAAAAAACCAAGACATATCAAAAGGGTGTTAAGATAAAAAACAGCATGAAGAAATGGAAATGAAACTTGAAATTTTATTTATTTAAACATGCTACAAATGACGACCTTGCCGGAAAGGCGAGGGATAGACTTGCCTAAATGATCCGCGATCGCAACTTGGTAATGATTGCGCCATGGCTCAGCAGAGTTCGTTAGCAAAAAAGCGGAAGCTAGTTTGGGGGTGTTGGTTTTCCGAGTCCTTGACCCAGGGTACTAGAGCTGCTTTTAAGTCGAACGAGACTGATGCAAGAAAAACGGGTCCATCAGGATGTCCAAGTCACAGTGTCCTTCCACCATACCTTGGAGTATGAATCGCAGAACTGTTTTTCAGCGGGGTCCGGTTCGCGAGCGCTTTTGCTTGCGCTGATCACAGTCCATGCCAACCCAGGATCGCAAGCTCGATCGGCGGAGTAAATTGGCAAAGTGTGGGTCAACTTTCCTGAGGTCTGGATGTAGCAATCGTAGAATAAGTGGCAAAGATATAGCAATCGTTCGAACCACTCAAAGGCGAGAAGGACAGGGGCGCGATCTTCACTCTTAGAGACTTCCAAAGTTTCTGGCGGTAAAATGTGGCAATCTGCGACGAATTAACCAGGCGAGAAGACCACTCCAACACAGGAGGTGTCGCCGACGTACTGGGAGGAACTAATAAGGGGAAATGTTTCGGCCTGGCAAGATGATGCTAAACTCCAAGTCCATTTTAGACATGCTGATCTAGCTCACCCGACGTGCAGACTAAGGCGAAATTTGAAACGAAGATCTCGGAACGCGACAACGATACCCAGGTATCCATTGATCGTGGAATACCTTGATCGATGGAAGAGCATCGTAATCGACGGAAGGCAACAGCGTGTTGACGGGAGTTCGGGATTCTTCCGCAACACTGATCGTGCCATCCGAGCTGCTAGAGGCTTCGCAAAACAGTTCGACCTTGAATAAGTTTGGTTTATGCGTAGGAGAAGCAGCGACGGGGGAGGCAGGAGAACCCAATGCAGTGCTAGGGGTGTCCACAACGACCAACTCGAGCGCAGTGGAAGTAGGATCCAGCGGGCTACAGGGCGGAGCCATTTTTCGGATAGAAGAGCGCGATCGAGAGAGTGCAACTAAAGTTTGGGATTCCGCATCTGATGACTCATCAGCATCCGAGCTGAGCGTAGCAAATGCCAGGACGCGCAGCCTACCTTTCTCCTTACGATCACCAGAACCGGACGGAACGGGTAGTTGGAAGGCTAGATTTGCTTTGGATTGCTTGGAACGGTGGGAGGGACGGGGAACGCTGTCCTTCAGATTCCTTCCAGGGGAAGAGGACGTGGTGGAGATATCGGGCACAGACGAAGCCGAATTTTTTTACTGTCGCCTGGACTGAAGACTGCGGAGAGGTTCGGGGAGTAAAGAAAGCGCTTGTCTTGACTCTTGTGCTCCGTGGAGGAAGAATTGAAGCGAAAGATGTAGGACGTTTGCCACGAAAAGCCGTGGTCTTCGCTGGTCCATTTACGCATGATGGCTCAGAACGGGATGCGGCCTTCATGACAGAAGGGAAAGAAAGTGGGACGGATAGGTTCGTAGCGAATAAGGCGACACTAGCCAAAAGAGCATCCGATCGCACAATGCTAGATCGAGCTATGACTTTAGGTTCGAGATCTTGTCCGGAGCCGACCCACTTAATAATCTTGATCGGCGAGAAAAGAGCGTAATTGACCGTGGTCAACTTCGAGATCAACTAGATCACACTGACCCCGATCGGGCTCTACCACCAGTGTCGCAAGAGAATCGTTCAAACGGCCAGACTTAGTCCGGGCCTATAAAGAGCCAGCCTTGTTTTGGGCTTTCTTCGATTGGACCTTCAGAAGTCTTGCGGTTTCTTGGACGAGTGCAGCATGCATTCGAGCATTTTTCTCATCCATGTGCTGTCGCAAGGCTGCCAACTCCCGATTGTGACGTTTCTGTGAAGCATGAGGCGATATAATCGCCTCCAAAAGCGTCAACTTCAAGTTAATTTGCTGCTTTTGACACTGACTCGCGTGGATATCCTCCCGAAGTAAGGCGGTCTCCGCACGCGCATCTTCGAGCTCCGAACGAAGACGATTGTAGGAGACTAAAACGAAAGTCACAATCGGATAGGCCGAATCAGCGAGTGAACGGATCTCTGGCTCTAGCCGATCACATCGACGGGTCTAGTTCCTCTACACTTGCTCCAGATCGCCATAGCGATAGACAAAGTCTTGCTGAGACGCGGTCCGTTGATGCCCGCTATCATCTCGATCACAGTCGCTTAATCGGCTTTCGGCGGCGATTCGACTCGAGCGGTCGGCAATATGATTGCCTGGGTGGGGCTGGATTCCCTGTGGCCGATCTTTGTCAGAGGTGGTAAGGATGGCACTGAGGGTATACACGTAGTGGTATCACTCGAAGTGCCAGGAGATGTGTTGACGGATGTCAATGTGGAGCCAACGAGGGAAGGTAACGCGTCACTAGCAGAAGTCACGACGGGCGAGGCGGGACGGGGCGTTGACGATGTGGACGACGTGGAAGCCATCGTTAACGTTAAAAAGGAGAAGCCGAAGAGACACATGCAAAGCCAGCCAAATGTTGTGGATCTACTATTTGCGCAGAGGCCGATTGTAATAAAGCCGGTCGAGATCGGATTCAAAAGCCTAGACGATTCGGCTAAGTACGAGGTTGTACTGGCTAAATCGCTCGTGGGATGATAGCCAGCTATTTGGATGTTACCGCTGGGAAGACGCAACGGGCTCAACTTCATCTAATCCGCACGGCGCCAGAATTAAAAAATAACAAGGGACCGCGATCATAGGACCGCGATCATAGGACCACGATCAGGGGACCGCGATAAGAAGACCACGATCAAGGGACCGCGAATAGGGGAGCGCGATCTGGCGTGAGCCACGTGAGATAGAAGGATTGCAAATCCATTCGGCATGGAGAAGACACGTGGCCGTCAATCCTGACGTACGGACGTGGCTATAGTTTTGGTTTTTGGTTGGTTAACATTAAAGAGAGTGTAATTTGCTTCTAAAACGCATACGTGTCGCTCTTCTTCCGGGTTGGATATATGGTCTCCCGACGTCGAAGAACTTCGACACCAAGGGCAGGAAGATCACTCCTGGAGCTATTTGGCCAGGAGTGCAAGGACTCTCAACACACCTCAACTGCGATCGGACGCAGGCAACCTTACTGGTTGAGTACAAGATCGCGAGATGGTTCAACTGGTCAGAAGGCTCGCGACTCAAGTACCCCAGTTTTGCCACAAGGCAATCAAAGCTGTGCACGGTAACCCTAGGAGAGCTCCAACAAAGAACACGCGATCGGGTGAGCAATTTACACCCGATCGACACCAATTTCTGAAACGTCAAGCTCAGCATCGAGTCAAGTCCACCTAGAAGAGTGCAACCCGCCTTACCGACGGGTACACAAGGTGAGGAGGAAACAAGTGCAAACGAAATCGAAGTACCGCCTCCGTTAGTCGGTTATCTGGGCGCCAGTGGAGAGTCGGGATCGCCTCATAAAATAAGCGAACCCCACTCCTCCACAGAACATGATCACTCTTATGACAGTGACCTCGCGACGGAAGTTGAAGACACAGCAAAAGACGCTGTTCGCGAGGGCGGGACTCTTGAGCTGTTTTTTAACAGAAGTGGGGTTATTGTCTGTCCCGCACGACTTCACTAAAGACCTGGTGACGAGATGTAATTGACGCTTAAACGTAGAGGTGAGACTGTGCTCAACTTGTCTCAGCGACGTGAAGAAAGCATTCGGGTTTTTTCGGAGCTGCCACAGAGCACTGATGAAATCCAGAGATCAAGCAATGTCGCTACTATAAGCGCGGAATGCCTCGCGATTGGTAGAATGATTGGATGCAGCAGGCGTCATTTTTAACCTTTGAATGGAATGGTGCTTTACATCACACGGATCAATAAAAACGCGAGACAGCTGATAACACGCGAAAAGAAATAAATCACGAAAGAGAACAGAAATGCGCAAGAAAGAAATAGCGCCGAGTACACGGTCAGCGGCAGGTACAGCAAAATCGGCAAAAAGAGACCAAGGAAAAGGCACGGTCGAGGAGATAACCATCACAAGCGAGACAATTCGTGTTTCTTCCGGAAGAAATCTCTGCACGATACGAGCGACTGCTACACGTCAAAGAATAATTGATCAAAGGAGACCAAGAAAACTGAAGCTCAGTCGCCCACGAATCGCAAGTCAGAATTAAAAAACTCCCGAATTTCACAAAATGATAACTTTGACTCTGAATCGGAATCCGAGTCGACGCAGCAGGGGAAGAACAAGAGCTTAAGTTTGTTAGTTTAGTGGAAAAGGTAAGGCCTGTCACAAGTGCACCGTTGCGCATTGAGACAAGATTCATCGCACTCACGATTCAATTAAGTCCCTGTTCGACAGTGGAGCATCAAAAAGCATCGTCAATCGTGCGACGCTGGCAAGTGTTGTGAAGCAGAATCGACGCGATGTTACAGCTTCACCGACTGTATTCGCTTTTGCGCGGTAAATAATAGGGAATAGAACTATTGTAATAAATTTCTTTTTCCCATCACTAAAGCCAGACACAATCGTCACACACTTATCCGAAGTAATAATCTCGAGCAGCGACAACTTTCTCATCAGAAGAGATGTCATGAACGCCCTAGGACTGATTTTGAACTTTAAAGACTAAGATGTACGATAGGACATTCCTTTCTTCGGCTAAACACAAGTCAAGATACGGCGAGAAGACTAAGGACGGACAAAGATTATCTAGGATTTTTTTTCATCTCGCAAAATAATAATTAAAAAGTACAACGGCAGTCCATCGAGAGGCGTTCATGCCTGGACATACTGTCGCCAGCATGAATAATATATGCTTAGCATCACGATTCGAGTACAAAATGCTTTACGACGGAAACCTCGGAAGAATACGCTATCCGGACTATGAGCTCCAATTCAACCAAATTACAAAGCAGAATGTGCGAAGGCCTACCTCATCGCGCGCAGCTAGGATAGCAGATCCAAGGAGATTTATCAGCGGCTTATCTGTGCTGACGTGCTAGAAAAATTATGATGCGGAAGGGGTCTCACCCGCGTTTCTCGTCACTGAGCCTAATGGATCACTGCGTATTCAACGACTACCGTGGACTAAACAAGTATCTACGAAGGAGTCCATACTACGTACCACGCATTCGAGAAACCCGTATGCGCTTGCTAAAAATACGTCTTTTATCACTTGACGCAAACCATGGATATAATTGCCGCCGACTAGCTCGAAAAAGCCGCCCACTTACAGCTTTTTGTTTGCCCTTTGGCAAAATACTAATACAAGCGACAACTGATGGGTATGTCGACAGCTCCTGACTAATATCAAGCGTGCGTGGATAGCATTTTTGGCGACCTGCCTGTTCATCTCGGTATACCAGGCGACCTCCAATTTTTTTCCAGTACATACGAAGATCATCTCGTGCATATTAGCATTCTCTTTAAACGCCTGCAGACCTACGCGTGTCGTTAAACGACAGGAAGTTCCAAATTGGCACAAGGTGGTGCATTACCTTGTTTATACGCTATTGGCCACTAGAGTGAAACCTCAAGAAAAGAAAACACAGGCCATTCAAAGATCGCAGTACCACGGAACCGAAAAGACCTTCGAAGTTTTCTAATCATGATCAACTACTACCAAGACATGATTCCATGCAAGACAACCGTGTGCAAGCCGCTTTATCAGTTTACAAGCGCCAAGGTGCCTTTACGTGGCTACCCAGCAACACGAAGGCCTTTCACAACACCAGTCGTGCGTTTGTGGAGGCCGTCCTGCTAGCGTTCCATAACTTTGAGGAGACTTTCCATGTCTACGCAGATGCTGGCGGAAACCAGATAAAGTACTTATCATGCAGGTACTAAGATCCTGTCGTGTTACTCGTGCAGCCTTAACAAGCACCAGATCAACTATACCACCATGGATCTAGGTCTGCTTCCGTTTGTTGAGCTGTTACGCGAAAACCGAACGATGCTCCTCGGATTTCGAGTTTTAGTCCATACTGACCACAAAAATTTGATCTTCATTAGTGAAACAAGTCTTCGAGTGAAGCGGTAAAATAAACTTCTCCCTGAGCATCGCATGGTGATGACCTGTACCAAAGGTGACAAGAAAATTGGTGCAGATGCCTCCTCACGCATGCAATTTGCGAAAAGTGAAGGTCCATCGCTATACGACGAAGTTTACGCGCTAAATACGACGCCGGAGTGCATAATGCATGGTCCCGTTATCTGTCAGCGCTAGGAAAAGATTGAATGATCGCATCAATCAAAACAGCATATCTTGCAGGGACCAACGATTTTGACAATGAGATCAAAGTTCTCTTGGGATGTACACTGGTTGGGTACAAAATCCGAGTAATCTTCTTTGACAGTCTTCGTGAGGACCTGATCGACTGTTATCACATGAATCTCGGCCATCCAGCAAGTCATCAACTACACGAACGATGCAAAATGACTTTTATTGGCCGTATACGGAAACAACTATCGCCAAATATATTCGCCAATGCATCGCGGACAAGCGCGCTAAGTTGCACGGAGGCAAATGAGATTATGGACTACTACCACCACGCACCAAAAGAACGGTCGAACCGTATGACATTTTACACAATGATCTCATCGGACCGTACGACGGCGGCTATCACGGGAAAACGATCAAATATCAAGCTACTATGTGGATTGAAGTTGCTTTACAGCCAAATTAAAGAAACGCTGACGTCAGCTGAAAGTTTTGACCGCGAGTACCTTTGCCGCTACCCACGTCCACGACAAGTTGTCCACGCCCACGGATTGGAGTTAACAGAAGGTGAATTCAGGAATTACTCCGTAGTTACGGCCAAAATTAAAAGCGGTCACAGCCAAGGACACTCCAGCTAATTCTATCTGTAAGCGTATGCATTTGGAGATGTTGAACGTCATCCGTTGTCACACGGGCGCGGGTTGGAAGAAGGTTATTTTCGTTACGCTGCTTTTGCTGTACGTTCAATTTACCACAGCATACTCCATGCTGTGGTACAACTCATTTTTGTCCAAGACAACTCTTTTTTGGCCGAGATGTAATTATGCGACAACTGCATGTGGATGTTGGAGTTACCTGTCGAAACGGCGGTTTAAAGCTACCCTGGCTGACAGCACACGCGAGATTACCAAACAGCTCGTGCATTTCAACCATCCCGGCGACCACGTGGTGATCCGAAGACCGAAGGAGTTTTGTGCCAAGACAACGAAGTGTCAGATGGGCCCTACCCCATCAGCACCTTGCATGAAAAGTGGAACCATCACTATTGACAAAGGGGCGACGACGCAGAGACAATAGATTCGTCGCATCTTCCCGTGCTAGTATTCATTGCTTCATGGGGGCAATGTGACATAACAGACGCCTCACCTGATTGATTAAAGTTGGATGTATTCTACTCAACGACCCTCGATGCCTAGCTGGGAACAGCCCTCTGGATGGAATTATGGATCGATGGAACAAGATGAAGTATGCGGTTACGCACGGTCGAGTACGTGGTCCGTAATACATTCTTAATTTAACCTCGAACTCCGCAAGGCCCTCTCAATCAAGGCCAGCGGAACAATCACCCCTCTGCAAGCCAACGGGAGTGTCATGAAATTTCTTGTGGACACTTCCTGAAACGGGGTCACGCTAGATATTGGCTACATC